CAGTACTTTTTATCCAAGTCCTGTGAAGAAAACTAATACTTCTATGTTCTGAGTCATTTCTGGCCATCCACAGAAAGAAATGCCGACAGCTTTGCTATTGTATATTGGACCAATAATCACTCACGACTATGAACACATCATACGATCACATTGTTGCATGGATTGTATTTGTCACATTGACAATTCTTCTAAAATCCTTTTTTCAAAAAATGCAAAGTAATGATGAACATCACATTAAACATTAAGCTGATTTAGTGATCCAAGCGGCAAGCTGTCTCCTCCGCAATGGAATGATTGTGTGTTTCATTTGCCAGACACTGAGTAATGCACATTACGACATTACCCTTCTGCAAAGTAAAGCTGCCCGAGTTCATTCATTCTAGATTTTTTCACTTGATAGTTAGCACAAATTAATCTTGCTGTTGTAAGTTATAATTCAATATTCACACCAATACATCAATATGCGTTCATCAGCCAGCATTTTCTGGCTTGGTATTGCTCAGCGTGCTCTTCATGATCTCCTGCAATAGTATAGCTTGTTTTTGTCCAATAAGCTCTTTTAATTTTACTTTTTCTTGCTGATAAGTGAGCCAGACCAACTTGCGTTTATCAACCAACATTTCCTAAATTCAACTTGATATCAATATTGCTCAGGGCTCAGGAGTCAGGAGTATAGGACTCTGGAGCCTTAGCCTCCTGGATACTTTGAATTGTTTTCAGTCAACATGATTCTTTGGTATGATATAATTCAATCACAAGGGATCCGAAACTTCCAACAAAACGACGTACACGAGTACGAAAACACCAGATGAACTTGAAAAAGGCCTTGGAACTTGCTTTGAACAGAGCCAAGCGGTGCTCCATTTGTTTGATTACAATAATTGTAGTGCTGATGTATTGTTTTATGACTCTAGCGGTCGGCTTATAAAAATGAAACAATTTAACCAAATCTATAAGGCAAGTAATATTTTTCTGAGAGAACTAAAATATTTAAAAGCTAAACACTATGAAATACAGGAATCGGAACGAAAAAGTAACCTAAAAATCCAGCCGAATCACCGGCTCCTAAAACTGCGATAAAATCAGCACTTTTCCCCGCAACTCGTTGTCCAGACGTAAATATGCTGCTGACTTCAAGTCAAGGTCAGGGTAAGGCCTCTCGAGAGACCTGATCAAGGCTATAGAACTCCAGGTAAGGACACCAGCCGTTTGACCTTGAACGCCGCCGGCCGGCCGATGACGTCATTGGAGGCAAGCCGGCTCGGCGGACACACAGGGCGAATGCATAACGGAGGGGCGTTGGAACGTTGCGGGAGCGCCAGGGAGATATTTTAAAGTGGTTGCATACCACCATTGTTTGTTGATTGATCTACAGACTGCATCCTTTTAAACCTCGATGCATCCTAGGCCTGGATGGTGCGTACATTCGTGGAACGATCACCCCGTCCGACGTCCGTGGTCGAAGCTGTCATAGTATTCAAGACACTAAGACGGGTGCAATAACGGCGATCCGATCCCGTCTCTGGCGAATTTAGAGGGGTCGTAAGGACCCAGGCCGAATCTGACCGTCTATTTTTAGGGAAACGGGGTGGGTGAATTGACAACCGATGGTTTAAGAGATGATGAGAAGGGATCCCGTCGTCGATTGTTGTTTGACAGACAACACATGTTGTACTGGGCGTATGACCATCAAAGGTAATGCCTGAACGTAGGCAAGCATAATTGGTCTGTCATATTGTTTAGGAATATAAAATGGTAATGGAGATCATTGAGGATATGATCTCTACATTACGGGAATTCACTACCCAGTAAACATGACGACGTCGGCCCGACGTCGGGCCGAGGCTCGGCCCGAGGTCGGCCCAACGTCGGTTCAACCTCGTCCCGACATCGGCTGGACGTCGGATATGCCCGCATGTTCCGACGTCCAGCCGAAGTCCAGCCGACGTCCAGCCGACGTTGGGCCGAGATCGTTTGCCGAGGTTGACGAGATCGTTTGTCGTTGGACCGACGGGGCCGACGTCGGCATGTTTATTGGGACAACGCGCCAAAAAAAAATCAACCGGCGGCGGGATTCGAGCCCCCCAGTCGCCGACGTCGGCATGTTTACTGGGACAACACGCCAAAAGCATCAGCCGGGGATGGGATTCGAACCCCATGCCATTCGAACGCGAGGTTAGCGCGCTAACCACTGCACCACGCAGCCAGCTAACGAATCAGGTTTGTTTTGTTGGGTTATGCCCTTTCGGTCTGACAAGACCATTTCAGAGCCGGAAAGATCATAGGATGGAGACATTGGTCTTCTTGGCGAGCTCCCTGGGTCCAGTTCATATAGAGTCCCTGGTCCCATTGCTGTTACGTAACACTTATTGGAAAGGGCGACCCCACAATGGGTTCATATAGCCACTCTTATACACCTGCACCAACGTTTCCCAAAGTGTCCCTTTGATAAGTGGCACTTTGGCAAAGTGACACTTGCCGACTGGCCTTTCTATATGAACTGGGCCCGGCCCTGGTGAGTTGCCGGGGCTGAGCCTGACCAAAGGATAGGCCGAGCAGCCCCCAAGCACTCACCGCACCCGGCTACGGGCGAGCTCGGCTTACGGGCAATCCCAAATGGGATAAAGTTTCCCGTCCAGTCCGGATCAGGGGGTTGCGGCGTGGAGGAAGATTTGAGTTTCCTGAGGATATTTTGAATACAGAAGCTCTTTATGAAACATGAAACATGTATTTTATATTATTTTAACGGTCAAAACAGCGGCCGATGTCGGTCCGACGTCGCCCCGACGTCGGCCCGACGTCGGCTGGACCTCAGCAATTGATCTCGGTCCGACGTCGGCCCGACGTCGGCTGGACCTCGGCTGGACGTCGGAACATGCGGGCATATACGACATCCAGCCGACGTCGGCATGCTGATGCCGAGTTGCCGACGTCACCCCGACGTCGGCCGACGTCGGGCCGACGTCGGCATGTTTACTGGGTAATTACTACGGCCCATAGGGGCACCGCCGGAGCTGTTGTTTTGCCATCGGTCCCAGGCAACTCCAGGGAGCTGCAGTACCCGGCGGCCAAAGCGGCCACCTCGTCGACTCGCAGGTCCTCTGGGATTCCGTGATGCTTTAGTGCTTCACCCACAGAAGCACGGGCATAGCAGTAGGATGTGGGGCTAGGTGTCTGTCCACCTCTTCATTCAAAGAACAACGTGTACAGCGCCTGGTCCCGCCGAAGCTCGGTATCGACCGTGACTTATTCACAACTGGCGGATCCAGGAAGCGGTATTGGACACTGCGGGGGCTTACCCCAAAAAGGTTTCTCGGAATTAATTTAAAAAACTCGGATTTCGATTCCTTGCGCACTGCTGTGCGGTGTGCTTAAGCAACATTTCCTCAGAAAAGTTGTGAAGTTTTCATTTATTCTCGAAAATCGATTTCGGGCGCTGCCCTGGTTGTTGGAGAAGACATTTGCCCCAAATGCCTTCCCCTGGATCCGCCAGTGGCCGTTGCCCCACTCCGAGCTTGACTAAAGACGTCTTCAAACCTCACCAGAAACCGATGGTAAGGTGAACTTAAATCCAATAACTCATCTCTGTCTGCCCGCCTAAATATACTACACATGGTACAGCACCCGGCCCTGTCGGAGCTATGAGCCGATCGTGATATTTTCGGCTTTCCCCATCCCAAGCTCGATTAGAAACGTTCTCCTTCCCCACCCGATTGCTGATGTCAATTCAAATTCAATGCCTCATCTCTGTCTGCCCGACCATAACCCATTCATTGCACACCGTTCAGCGCCCGGCCCCGCCAGAAGTATCCTAGCGCGCTGAGCAGTTGCCTCCAGCCGCGTCATCGCGAGGCCCCGCGCGGCCCATAAACGAATACATTGCGCGAATAGCCGTGTCGCCCCCCTGGACCTGATCAGGTCAAGAAGCTGGTCGAAGGAAGTCATGTCGGATATCATTCGATTGGGCGGGTCTTCCTGAAATAATTACCTATTAGGTAATCTGACCCGCTAGCTCAATTGATCGGGAGTTATCGACGAAAAATTCTGATGACCGTAGTGGCGTCATATATAACGCCACGCCAGGTCAACAATGCAAAAGTGAGGCCCTAGACTCTTGCAAGGAGTGGTCATATTTGAAACTGAAACGACTTATGACTCATGCATTCTCATACTGAGAAAAGAACGACACTTCGTCTCGATCAAGGTCATATACCTAATGGTCTCTATGAGTCCGGTAGTTGTTGAGCTATATTATTGCCCCAGGACTGGCAGTGGACTGGAATGGCAGTGTGAGTGCCGAAAGATTTCCATTCCTTCCCTTCCGCCACGCCACACCCTCCCGCTACCTTCACCTGGACCTTTCTCTAGCGAGAACTCCTACATAATGGAGTTAGTTGGTTCACTCGCCAAATGCCGAATGGCGTCGGCCCCTAGAAGCCCGTCACTGTCAGAGCTCGAAGTTCCCCGATTTGAGTACCTAGTCCCGACAAAATAAAAACTGCTGAAAATGGGATTATTAATCCTAGATTGAATCGGCCTCGCTCGTAAGTTATTTGCGATGATCTGGGCTGTTCTACGACTTACGAGACACAAGGCCAAGGATGACACAGCCGCATATCAAAATTGACATGGTCCATGGATCATTCAAAGTTCCTCAACAAGAAAACTAGCTAAATGATGACAAAAGAAAGAGCTCCTCGACCTCCGCACCTACCTTGAGGCTCGGCCTCGAGCTGCCGCCTGTGTAATGCGTCTGGATGCGTGGATGCGTTCACAATGACATATTATTGTTCCTGCGTCTCAATCTCAATCTCGTCTCTCAATCTCAATCTCGTAATCTCAATTTAGTAAAGTAGTATCACCCTTACCGCGTCCGCGTCCGCCACAACACGCACGCCACGTGGCATTTTGCGTAGTCAAATACGGTCAGCTGTTTTTCAAGATCATGGCATTTCCTGCGCATGCGCCGCCCGCCGGCGGGTTTCCGGCATTTCCGGTTTCCCGAAAACCCGTAAAGTCAAGCGCGCGGGCTCGGTCGTTCCAGGCCAGGATCGCAGGGACAGATATCCGTATTCCGTAAGTACAAGAATTGTAGATGAATAGATACCTAACTCTTAAGTTTTAAAATATTCGTTAGTGAAGGTTCGGTTCAGCTGGAAGACGAATATCATGATACCTACTGAAATTTGAATCGGATAAAGCTCGTATGAGACAAGTTAGTATTTTGTCTATGCCTGTGCGGTCAAAGTTTGTGACGAAAAAAACGGTTCACGCCTCACGGCATCGGGCATGACGGTTATCCCACGGTTTGGGTTGAGGACAGTGAGATCAATGTTATCGAACCAGGACTGGGGATAAAATTCGCGCCGTGTGTTGTGTAATGTGTAAGGTTCGTAAAAGGCGAAAAGAGACTGTCTCGAATAATCTGGCTTTGGAAGAATCTATATTCTCTATTGCGACCTGTAATTTTGACGTTCAGGCGTGAGACAATGCTGGAAGTTATAAACATAGTCGCTGACCTGACTGACCTTGATTTAGCCGACAACTTCTCCATTTAGGCATCAAGGACATGCCGATGCGACGATGCGTTCTATCGGTTCATTCGAGGCTTGCGCCTTGCGCCTCTGCTTGCTAGTTTGTTCAATGCCATTATCGATCTCTTGTTTGTTCCGTGACCTGACCTGTCCCGTTCCTTTTCCCACAGATTACAGAAGATCGGCAACGGGGATGCCTCATAGGGTTGTGATTTTTTCGCAGACTCCAACGAACGGTGCGTCGTTCATTGTCGGCGACCAACCGTTCAAGGATTTGAACTTCCACCCGCTGGACCGACCAGTGACGAGTGATCGGAATCAGACTCTGAGACAAAGCCATCAGGAGCCCGGGCCCCGGAGCCGAAGTCAGATTAGAATCGGGAACAATGCTACCACGTCCCTGAACCAAAACCCTGGATATTGGCTCAGCTGAGGCCTCGGAAGTCGGAGATCAGACTCCCAGGACGGTTGTCAGGGCTTTCAGCCATGGTGACTAATGAAGATCACGTAACTATGAAATGGACAATGCAGCAGTTCTGTTGATATAGACGAGCTCATAGGAGAGTTACGACGCAGTTGAGATCGTTTGACCCGGGCTGCTTACATCTAACATAGCTCGGGAAAGCTGAATCCTGCCTGCGGATCATACCAGGGCGGATTCCTGAGGTGACCGCGGCGCGGTCACCTGAAACTGCTGGAACACCTGACTCCTGACGATGCGAGACTCGGATACCACACCTGACGATGACGATATCTGCCCGGCTCGGCACTCGGCGGGATGCCGCTGGTATCGTGTTGGCTCAGACCTCAGCGCATCTCAACAGCTGACTGGTGAGGCACAGCTCTCACGGCCACCTTGAAATCACTGGGAAAGTCTTGCACCTGCCCTGCTACTCTAGGCATTGGCATGCGTGCAATACTTACGTTACATAATGGCCTAAGGGGCACCGGGCTGTGCATTGTGCGTAGTCTTGAACTCTATTGTTTCCTGACTGAGGTCTCTCTCTCTCTCTCTCTCTCTCTCTCTCTCTCTCTCTCTCTCTCTCTCTCTCTCTCTCTCTCTCTCTCTCTCTCTCTCTCTCTCTCTCTCTCTCTCTCTCTCTCTCTCTCCTCTCGCTCTCTCCTCTCTCTTCTCTCTCCTTTCTCTCTCCCCTCCCACTCTCTATCTCTCTGTCTTCTCTCTCTCTCTCTCTCTCTCTCTCTCTCTCTCTCTCTCTCTCTCTCTCTCTCTCTCTCTCTCTCTCTCTCTCTCTCTCTCTCAATCTCATTCCTTCCCTCTCTCTCTCTCTTTCTTCTCTCTTCTCTCTTTATCCTCTCTCTCTCTCTCTCTCTCTCTCTCTCTCTCTCTCTCTCTCTCTCTCTCTCTCTCTCTCTCTCTCTCTATTTCTTGTTCTCTTTCGACAACATAAGCAAGTTGAGCCTACCATAACATATGGTTCTCGATCCGGAACAATGCATGTTAGGGTGAGACAGCCTCTGACCTCCTCCCTTTTCCACAGAGCGTCGGCCGGCACCGGCGGACGGACAGGGGCGCAAAAACCGCACCTCTGCAATGGCCACGCTCCGAACTCGAAGCCTCGGCGGCGCCCGTCAGGCTGTCCGGGGTGCCACTGTCAGAGACCGTACCTGCCACTCCCCGCGGCCCCAGCGGACGGCCGTGGTGAGCCGACAGTCGGCTGCGGCACGAGCGACGGTGGACGGCGTCCGACGCAGTGCTGGGGGCAAGGCCCTATATACCAGGTAGGGTCGTCCGGCGATTCTACCTTTTCGTGACGTCAGCTCATGACGTCATTTGGAGTCAAGTCTCGAAGCCCCGTTCAATCCCCATGTAAATGAGCGATTTTCGAAGCACTGTAGAATGAAGTCTGCACAAGATATATCAAACTTAAGTATCTTATCTAAAAGAGCAGACAATTTTCTGCAAGTTATCTATTACGTGTTTTTCGCTAAATCTTTTGCTTTTTTCACAAAAGCGTAAAATGTCCCCCCATGTCTCCGCAGCCTCCCTGCCGCCGGCCGCCGCGCGGTCGCGGTAGTGTAGTGGTTAGCGTGCCCGCGCAGTATTCCAAAGGTCCCGAGTTCGAATCTATGCGGTGCGGAACTTTAATTGCAATTCCAAGCTGAATATACGCACATCCATAATAAATTATTATTCGTATAGCTTAACTGTCACCAAGCTATCCATATAAATTGACTTCACCCAAAATATCGGCAAGATTCTATTAAAATATAAATTCAAATATGGCGGCTTGGACTGCCGCGTGCGTTAGGCTCCGCCCATAGCTCCGCCCACATGCGTGACGTCATTCGTGTTAGTGGACACGCAGAGAGATAGGGGACGACATGGGCCTGGCTGGGGGGCGAAGGTCTCGACGGTCGCCCGTGTGCTGACCTTTGGAGCGACGAGGACCACATCTCAATAGGTGAGTACTGGTGTGGTGGTCAGGTGTGTGCCAGTCACATCTTAGTAGCATTGCCGAGTCTGCTGGCCGCGCCAGAGGAGAAAGCCAGCCTCTGTTCCTTATTGTGCTGGGGGGAGGGGGCCGGGGGAGGCGAATCGTGTGGCGTCGAGCTATCGGTGACGTCACCCGCTCGGTCCGCCCGCGCCCGTGTGCACACTGAGTCAGGAATGGCGTCGCTAACGCTGACACAATGTACTGACACGGTGCTCTGACACACTGCTCTGACACACGGCTGACTCAGCTCACTGGAACTTCCACCACAGCGGGCCTTCACGGTTCCGGGGGGAGCGGGAGGAGGGGGGCGACCAATGTCATGCAAGGCTGTCCGACAAAGAATGTGGGTCAGCTGGGGCGGCGGGTGGGGACAGGGGGACCATAGGGGGTACGCGGGTCCTAAGTTGCATTGAGTAACGGTGAACTTTCCTAGCTCGTCCATTTCATCGAATCGAAATAGGCACTGTGTTTTGTTTTTCCCGTGCATGTACGGATGGGATATATGGGGATAAAGGTCACGATGAGTGCGGAATGCGAGTGGGGACTCAACTCAGCACAAAAAGGTCGTTAGTGAAAGTGCTGCTGATAAACAGCTTTCACTGGCCACTGCTATACTGATACCTTGCCCTGAAGCCCTGTGTCATGGTTTTTGGACCTACCGAAGCTCATGTTCCCAGTGGCATTGCTTTTTTCCTGTAGGTACCGAAGATTCGCATGATGCCAACCGCAATTGGAGCCTTCAGTGATGTACGGATTTAAAATCTTGCTTAAACTATGCTGAATGGAGGGTGCACACTGCACTCACCACTAGTCAGCAACACCGCTCAGGCTTGAAGCCTGTCGTCGGTGGTCGCGACCAACACAGTTTGACAACCAAAATTGAACCGTGTTATCACGGACTTTGGACAAGGCAGACGGTTATCTTTGTGCTGGGACGGATTACGGGCCGGCGTATGGCCACTGACCACTGATCCCGGTCATTGGGTCCCTGTTGACTGTCTGGTGCCTACGTAAGACTAGGGCTGGAACGAAAGGCGAAAAGACGAGTGTCAAATAGGTAGGTCCGTCCAGCTGTCAGCGGTGTCGAGTCGATTTCGACGAGACTGTCCGGGTAGAGCCAAATAGCTGCCACCGACACCATCGACTTCAACAATAAAAATATCAAGAGCGAATCCGAGATGGAGTCTGTCCCAGACTCAAGCAACATATGATGGTCTCACGAATACCGTCTCAACGGTATTTGGGCTACAGCTTACAGGTGCAGTGACAGGCTTGTCACTGCAAGGCGCAAGCCGTTATTGATCCCTGGTGTCCGAGCTAGCCTTTAAAGTTAAAAATCAGCATATGTAGCGCAAATTTCAGCCTTGCGCACCCCTTCGCCCAGCTGTCGTTCCCGAGGCAGTTTCCTCGCTCAGACTGAGCTATCGACCGCTGCGCAGTGCTGTGACCGGCGCCTGGGTATAGGACTGGGGGCGCTGACACCGCCTGGCCCCTGTCTGCCCGTTCTCAGCTGCCACCATGAGCGGCGACCTGTACCGCAAACTGGACGGCGCGCTCAGCCAGCTGCACATCACAAACTCGACGCCGCAGGGCTACAGCAGCGCCGAGACCAAGCAGCGCAAGGTGGCGCCCGTTGTGCCGCCCAAACCGAAAAAGCCGTCTCAACAGCAGGTGAGAAATGTGATCTTCAGCTGCTGTTCCGTGCCGGATTGGCGTCATAAACAGACTGGTGGTGAGGTGTCCAATGTCGTCTCGGTTTTCCGCCGTTGTCTTGCTATCGAATGACGTATGCGAATTGCGACTTCCTGTCTGTCTGCATCCAAGGGGGTTTCCAATTACATGCGAAACATAAGCTTACTGTTATCACTCGCGTGGAAAGTATTATACGGCTTCCACGGAACAGGTCAGATGCTTATTTGCTTACTGTCTCAGTGAACCGACAACGATCGGTCTTAGTAATGACGGTTCCCGTTATTTGTTTTCCTAACACTGACACACTCGTGTGGCGGTCGGCGCGTGTCGACAGGTGGCCGGAGGGGACGCCGACCTGCCACCGGGCGCGGTCGGCGCGCCGCGGCTGCCCAGCCAGCCGCTGCCGCCGCCGCCCGAGTTTTCGGCGCAGCAGGCGGCAGCCGGCGGCCAGGAGCTGCCACCGCCGCCGCCTCCCTACGTGCCCTCTCAGTACGCGTACGGCCAGCACGGCACCAACGGCTCGGCCGGTATGTCGCTGTGGGCGGTGACCCGAGACCGTGAGACGAGACGGCTGAGCGGCTGAGGTTCGACCTGCGGCCGGAGGAGGGTGAATGGCACTAGAGTGATTTTTATAGCTGTTTTTCTCCCTGTTTATAAAAAGGTTAATCAGAAGCCTGTTTGTCACACGTGTTTGGTTCCAGGTCACTGGTGCCGTCTCCTGGAACTAAAGGCCGCCCCACACTGGAACTCGCATGCGGATTGCGAGTTTTTAGGTTTTCGGATTTCTTCAAAATCAAATAATACAATCTAAGCTGAGTGACCCACACTACCATCTAACAAGCGAGTCTGCATGTTTTAACTTGCGAGCGACCTTGCAGCGCATTCCAAAAGTTGATTTTGAGTCAACTTTTTATTTCCCTCGCTGCGAGGTCTGCGAGTTCTGCGAGGTTTGCGGGTTTTTCGTTGGAGTCGAATTTTGGTTCGTTGTGCTGGTATTGCGACTATATGTAAGTTTCTGAAGGTGTACCGGCTTCACTGCATTCATGAAGTTACTATAAGGGAACGGTCTAATCACTCTATGCATTTATATTATGCCCGCAAACTGAAAACCCGCAAACCCGCAACCCGCATGCGAGGTCCAGTGTGGGGCGGCCTTAAAGTGGGTCAAGTTCGACGAGTTTTTCCATGTGACTTTTTCGCAACACCCAGTGGCTGTAGCTATTGATGAACCCACAAAATGCATTTTTGTTTTGGGCGCTTGTGACAGCCGTTCCTCCAGTTGTGGCCGTTCAGTTTCCCCGCTGTGACAGCTCAGTACCCCCGCTCTGACGACTGCCCTGCCGTCGGACAGGCTACCCGGCGCCGCCGCCAGAGGACGACCTGCCGCCGCCGCCGCCGCCCGAACTGTACGTGGACTCGTCCGAGTACAGCGGTGAGCTGCCGGCGCCGCCCTCCCCCGTCAGCTCGAGCTACTCGGAGCTGCGGCGCGCCAACCGGGGCGCGCCGCCGCCCACCGTGCCCAGCGCCGCCAACCAGTTCAACGCCTACGCGCCGCTCTCGCAGACGGTACGTCCGATAGACACTGGCCGGAGGAGGGGCACGTCCATTGAACTTCGTGTTTCGAAAGCTTACTCTCTTCGTTAAATGAGATGATATCGCAAATTGTCATCGATGCGTAAAATGTACCTTGATGTGAGCAGTGAGCACTAAGCAGGTTGACAGTTATTTCAGGCTTTGCTGCATCGCACCCTTTGCTAAAGCATAATGAACGTTTTGTTCGGAAAAATAATTTTGAAAAATTTAGTGTCCAACTTGCAGGGGCACCTCGTGTTCGCTGACCAGCCCGTGTTTCCCCCTCAGAGCTCCACGTACGAGTCCATCTACGAGCCGATGCGGCCGCGGCCGGGGGGCGGCGGCGGGGGCGGTCAGCGGCCGGCGCGCGGCCAGTACCCGCTGAACGGACCGTTCGTGGCGCCGGGCGCGCAGGGCCTGGCGCCGGCACCCAGCGCTCAGCCCATCACCAACCCGGACCGCACCGGCCGGGAGGCCGAGGTGGACTCGCTGACCAGCCTGCTGGTGCACGGCCTCGACAACCCTCAGCCAGACTTCTTCGGTGAGACTTCTCTTGTAGCCGGTGTATAGCTAAAATCAACTTGATTGACTCGAAAGATAGCTATCAAGCCAACTTTTGTCTTTTGGAAGCAGCCAATGTGTTCTGTTGATCTATTTCTCGATATCAATACTTACTCATACTCATTCAGTTTTCTGTATATCCAACAGCTGACAGTATATCAGTATCGTGAGATGGACGTCACCGCACCTGGCTTTTCAAAGGGCTGTTTTCCCAAAAGGCAAAACCTGTCGAAGTTTCCTTCTCTCGTCGTTTGACGCTGTTTTGCTGTTTGGCAGGTATGTGCTCCAAGTGTGGAGACAAAGTGGTCGGCGAGGGCACGGGCTGTACGGCCATGGATAAGGTGTTCCACGTGGACTGCTTCACGTGCCACGGCTGCCACTCACTGCTGCAGGGACGGCCCTTCTTCGCCGTCGAGAACAAACCGCACTGCCAGGAGTGCTACATGGTAGGTCAATACGGGATATTTTATCATCTTACCGATAATAACGATATATATCTGAACTCTAAAGCATGTGTCTCAGTTTCGATGGACAGTCCGAGCCTCAGACTGTCCATCGAAAGCATCATGGAAATGGAGGCAGTATATACGAGTAGGTACAGTCCACAGTAGAAGTAATGTGTGGTTTCAGTCATGGGTATGTTCTGCTTCTGAAGCCTAGGAACGATTAGCCAGACTGCAACGAGACTTTAAATGTAGCTGACATGTATCTTCACCCTTGCAGCTACAACTTTATCTATTGACGTCTTCTTTTCAATCAGTCTGCATTTAAAAATCGTCGGTCAAAGCCATCCGTTGAGATTGGTAAAACCACACATTACTTTAGCGGTGGGCTGTACATGTCATAGAACCTGTGAAATTCTAGAACCACTCATTTGTGAATCCGGGAAGTTCGTAGTAAACGCTGCGGAAAATATTTACTACTAACAAAGTTTGTCCAAGGTCCAAAAACTTCGATTTGTGCGTTGCCTCAATTCAAAGCAAATATTTTCCCATGCAGTTCGTTTTCCTTCCAGTGAAGATGCCCCCTTCACCTGGATTCGCTACTGGAGCCGATGTTACATAAAGCAATCACATTCCATACCAGAGATGGAACGCTTGGGCACGATATTTTCCATCAATATCCCCCTCACACCGTACCATTATCGACAAGATCTCCCTGACACGGTACCCCTGTCGACAGGACACCCTGGAGCGCTGCAGCGTGTGCACCAAGCCGATTCTGGAGCGGATCCTGCGCGCCACCGGAAAGCCCTATCACCCAGAGTGTTTCACGTGCGTCGTGTGCGGGAAGTCGCTGGATGGTGTGTGCTTCACCGTCGACGCCGCCAACCAAATTCACTGCATCGAGGATTTCCACAGGTATGCTAATGACGTATTTTCTGTCTCAACTACCTCTTTCTCACTTCTTTTGCGCAGTTTCCTTGTTTGTTGGGCGTGAATTCCGTCGGCAGTAATTGTTTCGTGGGATTGGGTATGGGCATAATTATTGATGTGCTATGAGCTCTAATTTAGCCTTTCACTGTGTTCGATCTATCTGACGATCTCACGACTCACTGTGCCTTTATGTTTACCTACCCACCAGTCCATTATTTGGTAAGCTGATAAACATGTGGATGGATGCAGCACAAGAGCTAGCACGTATTACCAATCACCACACTATCTTTCAACCACTCTGTTATTCGAAAAGCAAATAATGACTGGTATTATGAGCTTAGTTATCATGTCAATGTTTGCCTTGGTTCCCAAGCTGCGGACGCTGCTTCATGCTACCGAGCCTCATGGATGGACCAACGATGGATGATAAAGCTTGTATCGAAAGCGATACTGAGAAACATCGAAGACCATTAGAAATATGTAACGTGCATGTGACGTGGATAGTTCAGGTTAAATGCAGCCCTGCAATATTTTATGAGCAATTCAAGCAGGCGACGTGTTTTGTGTCGCCAGGAAATTCGCGCCCAAATGCAGCGTGTGCCACGAGCCCATTATGCCGGAGCCCGGTCAGGAGGAGGCCGTCAGAGTGGTCGCTCTCGATCGCAGCTTCCACGTCTCCTGCTACAAGTGTGAGGTAAGAACCAGACCGAGAATCGCTGGCCGTAAGAGTCATTCTCGGGTGAGAACCGTCGCCATAGGGGCTGGCGTAAGGTGAGAACCGTCGACTTCTCGGGCTTGTACGAGGTGTGGAGTGCTGGCCACTTGAACTGTAACGGGCTGCTACCGACAGGAAATAATGTAACATTTGTATTCATCCAACAATATAAAGCAACGCTAGGAATATGATGTTTGGGATCCTGACCCTTGTTAGTGCGTACATATGTGTCTGCGTGCGATGCCTGTGCGTGAGTGGTTTGACATCTGGGCGTTTGTCGGCAGGACTGCGGACTCGTGCTGTCATCCGAGGCTGAGGGCCGGGGCTGCTACCCGCTCGATGGCCACGTCCTGTGCAAGAACTGCAACGCCAAGCGCGTGCGCGCCCTCACATCGCGGATGACGACCAATTTGTAAGGAGCCGCGTGAAACCGAGAGGCGGCCGGCGGACGTTGACTGTCCCGTGCCATATTGTGCCGTTCGAAGTGCTGTGCTTACCGTGAAAGGGCTTATTTGTAATCTGACCACGTGACACCGGCTGCACGGTGATGGCACCGAGGAACGGTGCCAGAAACCGAGCCGGACGGTGTCCTTCTGACCTTAGTTCGCGCCTTTTTGGTGACCAATGGGTTGGATATATCGTAATGCTTTTTATTTACGATGTAAGTGTGTTATGCTTGTGCTGTCAAAGCATTATTTTGAGATTATTTACAATTTTCTATTCCACTAGCATTTCATCGTCTTTTGAATTAGTGGCGCTGTAGGTATAGCTTTCACATGTGATTGGTGAATGATTAGAAATTAGTCATTATCGCATACAATAATGCGAATGCAAGTATCTTTACTTGACCATTCCTGAATGATATGAGGGTGTATGTGAAATCGTCGGATCGCTATTCAATAAATGATTCTGTGCTTGATAGCAATGCCTTTCAAAATGACTTACCCTTAAGCCTTTATCTTATTGTTTTCTCAATTACGCATTCTAACTCATTATTCTGAGGCGGTCTCTGCTGGAAGAAAGGTCATTCATTCACGGTTAGTCGTAGCCACTAACTGAATGATACGAATCGTGCCCGCCCGGCTATGTGTAATGTGTACACTTCAGGCTTAAAATTTTGTTGGTGATCCATCATTCCTCCCGTGAGACGGTGGAGGCCGGGGCCTGGGTGAGAAGCCATGTTTACCACAGGCTCTGACTTCCACCCTTCAGCCCACCTACACAAGTACACAATCCGGATCAATTGTAAAATATCGACTACACATACACACTCAAGTATATTGGCATACCGTGCACCTCATAGTTCATCTATTGATGTAGTCCGGACCGGGTTTGACTGAGTCCAGCATTTGCCGTCCAGCTCTCATTTGTCGATGGGCACGTCCTCGGCGGCCGGCTTGGAGCGGTGCGCCGGGAACTGTTCCCAGGGCGACTCGAGGTCGAACTTGCGGAACTCCTGGGCCAGCTCGACGGGCTCCACCACCACGCGCTTCGCCTCGTCGTCATAGCGGACCTGCCGACGGGGACCAGACGCACAGGACTGGGGTTAGACGAACAAGGGAGGGGCAGGCGACAAAATGAAACGAAAATGAAAATGAAACCAAAATGAAAAGATATTCGCGAAAAACCACAAGGGGGGGGGGGTGTTCAAACACCCCGCCCTTGTGGTTTTTCGCGAATATCTCAAAAACGGCGGCGCGGAGCGCCGCCGTTTTTTGTAAACCTTATCATACATCCATTCTGCACATATTGTGAAAATTTCAGACCGAGGTCATTCAAGGTCAGGTCACCAGGTCACTTGAAGTGACCTCACCTCATAAAAAGTTTCAATGTCTGTCATAGCTACACCGAGTGACCGATCGCTTTGAAACTTTCAGCGATTGCTAAGAGCAATAGCATGTACAAAATGTATATCTCAGAATTTTGATATCGATGACCTAAGGTCAGGTCAATTTTGCGACCTCCCCATTATAAGTCAATGGGAGAAAATTGAAATGCGCCTCTTTTGGACGAAAGACATTATAAACACTCCCAAACACCGAATTACAAGTGTTTTAGACACACAGAACATGAAAATGGTGTCCGTGACCCTTGTTTGTGCCCTGAGGTCATCTTAGGTCACGAATGGTATCTAACAGTTTTTCGCAAATAACTTTTGATAGAGGCATGCTAGAGCGATGAAAACGCCTTAGATGTGTTCAGCTCGACGATACGGATCGACTGATATGCAACATGACCCTTTCCGGTCAGGTCATGACCTTGACCTGAGGTCAAATTTTCAAGTTGACCTTTCAAGGTCAAGTTATACTTCATTCGATGCGTCTTGACGAGAGGAACACGATGCCGGTAAAAGTAAGCTCGTACAAGGCTTGGGTCAAAAGTTATTGCAGAAAAACTGTTTCCGAAATCTATTTTTGCAGTTTTTGCCCCCTGCAGGCAAAACCGTTGACGTTAGGTCAAATCTGAGAGAATTACTCAGAAAGGGCGTTAATAGGGCTATCGAATGCGCTTTTCCGCGGCGCTGTAGCTCTATGGTTCCCGAGTTATGCGTTGGCCTCTTGGAAATTTTCGACATTCGGCCTGGAAATCGGCGAAATTTTGCCTTCAATGACCTCTGGTGACCTGACCTTTGACCTGACCAAAAAATTGACCGAAGTGATTTCGTCATTATTTTTGACGCTCTTTCGAACGCCGCCTTCCGTGTATCGCTACGTGGCTCAGGAGCCGAGTTACAAGGGGGGGGGTGTTCAAACCCCCCCCCCCCAGCAGGGCGTGGAAATCCAGGACCCCCAGCCGGGCGCGGGTTAAGTGACATGGTAAACGCAACACGATCAGCTAAACTGACAAGTGGCAAGGAGACGGACATCCTTTACGGCTTTTAGTCGTGCTACACATGATGGTAAGCCCGGCCGTTACCTCGACGTATCCGGAAAGGGGGAAGTCCTTCCTGAACGGGTGTCCCTCGAATCCGTAGTCGGTGAGAATTCTCCGCAGGTCGGGATGGTTGGAGAAAAACACTCCGTACATGTCCCAGATCTCACGCTCATACCTGCCGGCACAGCGATGATTCTGTATTACTGAAATGCACTGGGATAGAGATAATCAGACACAGGTCTTATGAATTTCCATGGATCAGTCAGTATGATTTTTTTTTTTGCTTTAGGCGATAAGAGAACGGTTTCAGCGATAATGACAACAAATTTAAAGAAGAAACAAAGTACAGACTATGCCGGAAATAATGGATGCCTCGCATAATGCTCCCCCACAATGCCTGTATCAGCAAAATAAAGGGACATACGCACCAATTAGCGCCCTTGAAGACTTCGACACAGGAGTCGACCGGTGTCAGCTCGTCGGTGTACGTTTTCACGCGAATCCGCGAGTTGTAACGCAGCGACAGAAGATTGTAGATCAGCTGAAAAGCGGAGGAGTATATATCAAAACCGTATAAATTATTCCCACATGCCTTTCCGTTTTAGCAAAAAAAAAAAAAACGTTTAAGTGTTATCGTGTTGCCAAACCGTTAGAGACGCCACTATTTTTTGTTTTCGTATCCGACGAAAATGGTGCTTTGATGAACACAGACACAAATTACAGCTTAGGAGTTTTAGCATACCAGTGATTAAAAAAAAAAAAAAACACAGTGTTTCCGTTTCGGCATATCGGAGGCCTGTGACCGCAACAGACTCGTATATGAACATTGGTCCATTTGCCCACCTCGAATCGGTAGTGTCGGGACGGCACGTCTATGGCCGTGATATCCGAGACGACAGCGAACTGGGCATTATGGTGGTCCTTGAGGAACTGCAGCACCGGCACCACGCCCTCCGGCGCTATCAGGATCTGAAACGGGTGGGCATAGTGAGGGTTGTGTGACTAGACCACACAGCAGGCAGCGGCAAAACAGTTGCCCGTTAGCTCACATCCGTAACGAGGAGGATGCTCAGATGCTGATATTCTTCGCCTCGTATATGGGTAGAATATGGGGAAAGAGGGCTTTGAACAGCTTGTTAATAACCAAAGTAAAAATACAGTTCCTTTTTGAGTCAAATCAAATTTCAGTTCAGGACTTTCAATTTTTGGGCATTGAACATTGTTTTTTTTTTTTTTGGACAGCATCGTGCGTGAACTAAGACAGACCTTCATAGTTCATAACAAAGAGCTGGTTAGAAGAAGATGTAAAAGTACATCATTAACGTGCTTTAATATGCAAGCAAGCAAGCGTCGTACTTAAAGGAATGGTGCAGTTTCTTATGGTTATATTGGGACATATAAAAAAATAACACATGAAAAACAATTACATGACGAACTCACCTCGAGCTCATTCCCTGATGAAATCTGAACCTTCTGAACGTATTTAGGCATACAATCAGCCACATATTTGCCGAAGTCCGACAGAGACTTTTTCTGAGACGGATCAACCTTCAGACTTGTCGCTGAAAAACAGCATACACGCATTTGACGACAAATGGCGAAAATTGAAACAACATAGCGGTTGTCGGGCTATTCAACGATTCTGTGCTAGGGGGAAGCGACAGGTTCCAATCCCGTGCTGCATGCAAAGGGCAGCTTTCTAAATTACATTTTCCTTACTCCTTTTATAAACATATGCTCCTCTAAAGACCGTCCTTTGTTCGCCTTTCTGTTGACATTAACTCTGAAGATGTAAACTTGATGGCCCTAACAATCTGTAAAACTAAGCCTGAGGCCCCAACACAAGGAGTAACTTACGACTGACGGCCTGTGAAGCTGTGGTTTTCGATCGGATGTGTCGCAGCTGGGCCAAGGGCTTGGTCTGCCCGACACTGGCACCTGAAAATAACGCGATGTTATGCACATGCACGGGGCAACAGATTCAGGAGCAATACTCGAGAACTGCGGCCGTCCAAAAACACGATCCCAAAGCAAAAAAAAAGGCACTTACACCGAAATGCGGTAACCAGCTAGGTTGGCAAACGCATATGGACTCGGCAGCACGATATCCGCGAGGCGTCTGTGAAAACGCAAATAAAACGTGCTATCCTTAACAATAACACAAATTGTCCATCCCACAGGCTGTATTGTGATATTGGCACATCATAGCACCGAGCCTTGCATTGAACGGTTGGCCGGCCGTCGGCGGTCGGCGCCGAGTGCGGAGCAGACTCAACCTCACTTCAAAGCATAGGTACTGGATTTGGATCACATTGAGGATGGTTTTGTGGCCCAGTGTTGGTCAAGCCTCTCTTTGAAAGAGTTTGTTGATGGAGCCAGGACAACATCATCTGGCTCTGTAGCATCCCAGAATGACCTGGACCCTGACCTGTTAACCTGAGATAAAATTTGTTATCACTTGGGGATGAAATGACCAATGTGTATCGTAACCTATGTTGTTTATGTATGCACCAGCTTCTCTGTAACCTGGGAGTGCAATTTGACTCACTCCTGGCTTCAAAGATAGGAACACATTTTATGCTTAAAGAGGTCACCAAAAGACATCACTAAAGATAAATGATTAACACAGACATCCAACATATAGGAGCACCATTTCCTTCAGTCTTTACTGCCTGCATGGTGAAATCACTGCCACAGGAATACTTTTTATGCTTTAGCTAACATTATCATTCCTAATGCAGAGGTGGATAAGCTACTGTTTGACTTGCTAATCATAGTGAGCGTTAGCCAGCAGACTTCACTTCCTGATGCCATGTGCATTCTCATAGTGCCAAGTCATCACAAGCCTCCTATTGCGGATTCCTTACCCTTCTCTTGCATTAGAGTCCATTTATATCTACATATTCTTTCAAGCAATAATCAGGAAATAAGGAAGTGAAACAGAATTCAGTAGAATCCTGTTAGTAAATCCACTTTGGTGACACAACATTTTTGAATTATTACGCAGTGGCCTTAATTACCCCATCAGTTAAGTATGCTTCTATGGAGAAATCCATGAACAGCTCAAGTGGCTACAATAAATGGCTGAATTTATCATCCGAGGATTTATTGAGCGGATTCTACTGTATTGGGAAAGCCACATATTTAAACAGATTAAGCTGCAAGACTTAATTGCTTTAATCCCCTTTATAAAAATGATAAGACAAAATATTCATATACATACCTCGCCTCACAACATTGCCGGTGATAGCAGCAGATGCTCCTCTGATAATGCGAAAGGAGAACATTTTTAACACTTTATACCTTCAGAAATACCATCCAACTCGGAACCAAATCAAAACCGATCGAATTTATCTAACAAACCGAATCTAACTAATCTAACTTGCTCCCTTGCTCCCCTCAGTGGCCTTTGAGTGAAGAAGAAAATAATATGACGTCACATATATACAAATATAGCGCACACTTTTCTTCGAACAAAATTGCTGGCAAGTGACAACCAACTTTGCTTGATGAAAGTGCATTTTCTTAAAGAAGATTTCAGTAGATTTTAAAGATTCATTCTTATTCATCAAGAATCAAGCACGTTCATTGTTTCAGCTTTCTGCATGCTATCACTTCTTGAAATTTTTATAGTGACGTCATTTCTCTTCTTACCAAAGCCGTTTCTCACATAATTGTAATATTTTTGCTATCCTTGACACTGTCACGAATGCGCCGCACGAAAAAAAACTTTCCGAAGCCGATGCCAACAACGATGCTCTCGGTTGATAGAATGGATAATTATTATTTTTAAACGTATTTAATATAGGTATATGATAGGGACAATTCGAATTCATGATTGAAACAAGGATATCGTGATTTCCTGTTCCGTGCGTGGCTAGCGTTTCTCGTGGCAAGTATATTTTTATTGTCATCGATACTCTTACGGGAAATTGAAATGCACATCCCATTCCATTTCAATTTTATTGAAGATATGGTGTTGAGTGCTCTTGCGAGGAACATATTGCAATAATAACTCAAAATGAATGACCTTTTCCTCGAATATAGAAAGTTTAAATGTCGAAAATGATGTATTTAGGTGAATTTTTGCCCACAGGGCATCATCAGACAAGCAATTGGCACAAATTTTGGCACAAAATTTGTGCCAATTGCTTGCGAAAATTTTGCCCACAGGGCATCATCAGACAAGCAATGTCTGATTATTGGCACAGCCTTGTGCCAATTGCTTGCGAAAATTCATGTAAATACATCATTTTTGACATTTAAACTTTCTATATTCAAGGAAAAGGTCATTCATTTTGAGTTATTATTCAATTTTATTGATTTGCATTCGGTCAGCATTTCAATTGTAATCTAATTCTGTTTGTGATGCTTATTGCCTACCACTGTTATGTACCATGCTCAGCTCATATGTCTCCAGTTTTTGACTGAGATACTTATCATCATATGCAAGATGAAGAACCATCGGTCAGGTTAGGTGCGGTTTAAGTAATTCAAGCAGAGCTCAGCAAGGTGTTTTGGGCAGCAAGAATCCTACCCCAAATGTGGAAGTTGACCTTAGCACCAGGCACAAAGTTTGGCAACAGAGCCTATCGCCATGCTTTATGTGGGAGGCTTTTGATGTCAATACATGCATACATACATGCATACATAATCTCAAGGTGCACCAGCTAGGGTGATAAATGTCCATCAGTCCATTATTAACCACATTGGAAACCTGCAACAGCTGGCAGGTTGTGGTAATCAAGACCTATAGCTTTGCCTCAAAATACAGACATTAATGCTTTTTATTAGCTCTAATCATTGGTCTTTTTTCCCTGACACACCCCATTGTTTCTTTCTGTTTGTTTGTCACCCCATTGTTTCTCATCATTTTCTTGGACAATGCTGCACCTGCATAGCTGATGGCAGCTACCACAGCTGCTGTGCGACCCTACCATATTGGAGCCCTTCTACCCTAAATCCACACCAGACTGCACCACAGTATGTCTTCACCATACCCAGCCTGGGAAAAATCCATGCTACCAAAGGTGCACTGACATCAAATGATTGATAGGGGGCAGGGAGATGGATTTAAGAGAAATGTAATAAAATCGAACATATAGGCATCAAGAAGCCTGTTTTGAAGAGCTTATTTCAAGCATTTTGTCATGAGTTTTTTGCTCTAGCACATATGCTGTGCATATGCTGCCATGCATATGATCTTTAGTTTCCTGTATTTCTTCAGGTTAACTTCTGGTGACCAGATTGCCAAGAAAAATGTCTGATGTCCAGCTGCTGTTCTTTGACACATTCGCCCATGACTCTGGCACTGTAAGTATGCTCTGCTTATTATAATCAATGCACATATCTTCAATTTTCTTGACTCACTCACTGTCATGTCTTGGCACATGGACCATTAGCTTATCACTGTTCAATGCAAGTCACATCAGTCTGTTTCATCATTTCCTTTTTTATCTATAGGAGACATCACTAACATATAGCATCAACTCTTGTTTATGTCTGTCTGACTGATTTGTGTGTTATGCTGATCCTCAGTACTAATGTGGAACTGCTGCTGTAATGAAAATCGTTTTTGTCTTAGGACTTGAACCTGGACCTGGTCAAATTCAACCGAGAGGTGTACATCAGTGAGGTTCGCGTCATCCCGCTCGGGGCGCGCGTACGAGCCGATTTCCCCGGCGGCGACCGCCTCGGGGCCACCAACCCATCCGAGTTCACACTCGACTTTTTCGTCAACGATCTCAGCAAGCCAGGAGTGTCAGCATTCCAGAAACTGGGCACCATCAACTATGACCAGAAGGGAAAGATTCAACTGGAGTTTAATAACAAAGTAAGCGGTTGCCCTGAGTCGCCGTTTTTAAGCTATCAAACTTAAACTCAGGTATTTCTAATTGGCTATGGTTGAACTAGTCAGATGCGCAAATTCAGATGCGTCAAAAATCAGCCACATTAAAGGTGTATGTTGCTTTTACACAGTGATAGCAGGTCAAAGAATAAGCGTAGTTTTTTATGCTTCCTTTGCAAGTTTGGTATGTGCGTGCATTTTTTGCTTCTGCATAGTGTATGTGCGTGTTATATGCGTGTTGTACATGCGTGTGCGGTATGATTTGCGGTGACGGGAGCGCGCGGCGTCCGCCCGCAGACTCCGACGGACGGGCTGGTGCTGCGCGGCTGGTACAGCGCCGTCACACTGGCCGTGTACGGCTCGCTGACGCGGCGCTCCGAGCCGGCGCCGCCGCCGCAGCAGCAGCCGCTGGCGGCCGCCGCCGACACGGCCGTCACCGACTGCCAGCAGGAGGAGCCGGCCGCGCCCGAGCCGGTGCGGGCGGCTCCGGCGGCGCCGGCCACCCCGCCGCCGCCGCCCGTCCAGGTCAGCCCGCCGCCCGTACAGGTCAGTCCCCACCATATACAAGGCAATCCCCTCCCTCCAGGGCAGTTCGCTCCCTTCGCTGTCCTTAGTTGGCTGCCGCCTCCCGTGCCAGATACACTAGTTCGCTGCTCGGTAACCCTCGGTGAAATGAACGGCAGTCATAATGCCTGGTGTTATTTTTCCATATTGCCAGCATCTTTCATTCTTTCATTTATTGCGTTACAGAGGCCTGCGCTTCTCATTTTCCCTTTTTCGATATTTTCAAGTTCGCGAAAAATCAAATCTCGATTCAACTTGTGATTGTAACCCTGATTAGACGCCTTGTCGTAAGATCCGTTGTATTGCGGCGTTTTGTGGCTGTCAGAGCCCGGATGACCAAGAACTGTATTTCCCCTCCGTCAACAGACGGAGCCGGAGCGCGCCGTCTCCCGAACGCCGCCCAGATCACCGCCGGCCGACCAGCGAGGCCCGCCGCCGGCGCCCGCCTCACCGTCTGCGCACAAAGGTACGGGGAGCACGGGTGTACAGACTCGTGGCTAGAATATTGCAGGGGTTCTCGCTCCCGTCCTGAAGTGTTTGGTTCAAATGATGTGGTGAGCCAATAAGTTAAAAATGGACAATGTTTTTATACGCAAAAGGCTGCTACAATGCGTGGTAATTATTTGACATTCCCGTATTCCTTGCTTGAACAGTAACGTTTGCAACACATATTTTGTGGTACAACCAACGTAAGCACGTATTAAGGGCTGTGAAAGACTTGTGCTATAAATGGCCGTGGCTGCCAAGCTGGTCTGCGCTTAACCGCATCCGTCCGTTCCAGCCGGCGGCGCCCAGGAGGAGTCGTTGCACCCGCTCTCCCCGGGCGATGTGGAGGCCATCAGCGACGACGAGATCCCGGAGCCGGCGGAGCGGCCGGCGTCCGGTGACGACAGCGCGCCGCCGGCCGCCGAGCCGCCGAGCCCGCCCGCGCCGCCGCCGCCGGCACCTGCCGCCGAGACGGCCACACCGCCGCCGCCGCCGGAGCCGGGCGACGCCGGCCTGGAGGACATCATGTCAGACGAGGAGCCGATGGACGTGCTCGAGTACCAGGACGACGAGGACTGGGAGGAGGCGCTGCGGCCCTTCAACCCGGACACCTTTCAGCTGCTGCCACTCACGGTACGTGGCCCAACTCGACCTGTATAGTGTTAGTTTACGGTATCTGATTGTACGGCCCTCCAGGTATTAAGTGGTTGGTTGCCAACATCACAATAAGCGATCTGCATTGATGAATACGTCTAATGGCTGTTGAAAACCACTGCCGAAGTGTGTGCACGAAACCTCTTCTCATTTTTATTGCCTCATTTTACAGGAGTGTCTCTGTCATTTAAAGTTATTACACCAAAAGCACATAGGCTAACCAACCACTCTTTTGCTGGAGGGCCGTAGGTACCTGTGCCAGTTCAGCCCTCTGGTTTGGCCCAGCTGTTAATGATGTTTTCGTTCACCGATGGTGCTATCTTCCCAGCCCAACAAGCAGAATGCGGTGCGCGTGTTTCGGGGCAGTCGTAGTTCTTTGTTGGGATACCGCCCACTCCAGTCCATACCAGGTTTACTCTTCTGACCTCGATGTTATTTTCAGGGTCTGCGGCCGCCGTGGTTGACGCCGTTCGAGCTCGCCCAGCTGGGTGAGGAGAAGTCGGAGTGGTGTGACCGCCTGGCGCAGCTGGCGGCCGCCTACGGCGAGCAGTGGCGGCCGGCCGCCGGCGGAGACGGCTCCGAGGCCTGGCTCGAGGAGATGGAGACGCTGGCGCCGCACCTGCCGGCCGCGCTCGGACAGCTGATGGCGCGCGGCGGCGACGGTCAGTAGCCGGTCCTCTCGGACTAGCTGGGGTGCTGATCGGATCATTGCCATAAATAAGCCAACTTCTCAGCGTAGATTAACTACTCGACAGTCTGGCAAACGTCATCTCACATCCAGTCGACTCTGTTAGGCTCATTACTGTCTTTTTACATTCTAGCTCTACCGACATTGAGCTACATTATCTGTACTTTAATCGGTGACAAAACTGTTGACCGCTGCACCTCAAGCTGACCGTGAGACCCAGTATGTCTTGAATATAAGCGCCCTTTACCGGCCAGCTACCGTTACTGACTCACGCCGCTCTGCGCCGCCGCAGACCCGGTGCCGGCCGTGCTCGGCTGGCTGGAGCACGGCCTCGACTTCGAGG